ATTGCATTGGGAAAATCTACTGCAAAAGACCTCTTTTAAAGTGTTAAAAAGCAAAGATATCACTTTGACAACTAAGGTGCACCATGGTCTTTTCACTGGCCTCATATTGCATGTGAAAGCTTAACAATGAAAAAGGAAAATCAAAGGAGAATTGACACATTTGAATTGTGGTGTTGACAAAGAATACTGAATCTACTGTGAAATGCTAGAAGAACAAACAAATCAGTCTTGGAGGAAGTACAGCCAGAATGTTCCTACAAAGTGAAGATAGTGAGACTTCGTCATGCTTAGCTTGGACACATCATCAGGAAAGTCCAATCACTTGACAAGTACATGTTTGGTAAAGCTCAGGGTCAGTGAAAACTAGGGAAAGTCTTCATGAGATCTATTGACATGGTGGCTGCAACAATGGGTTCAAATATACAAATGATGTGAGGATGGCACAGGACTGGGGAATGTTTCGTTCTGTTATACATAAGGTCACCATAAGTTGAAGCCAACTTGACAGCAATTAACAACAATAAGTATGGTTTTAAATAATCAAAACACAAATTTGACAGGATAAGCAAACAACAGCCCCTTTTGGAATGCTATTAAGTGCACTTACTCATTAAGTGGCACCTTTACCCAGAAGCCTGACCATTGCCAAAGCCAAATATCTTGCACAGTTTTTTCCTAAGAAGGAGTCCCCGGATGGAGCAAATGGTCCAAGCGCTTGGCTACTGACTGAAAGGTTGGCAGTTTGAATTCACCCAGAGGCAACCTACCCCCTAAAGGTCACAGCCATTGAAAACCCTACAGAACACAGTTCTACTCTGAAACACATGGACTCACAGTGAGTCAAAATCAACTCGATGGCAACTGGTTTAGTTTTTGGTTTTATTTTCCAAAGAGCGGTTCATTAGGATGTTAATAATTGTTGCTGAAGAGTGAATGCAGATCCACTAAACAAACGTAGACAGGTTTCTTTTCTTCTTACAGCTTTTAAAAACCAATATGCGTGGAGAACCTTCTAATGTATTAGGCCAGTCCCCCTCCGCCAGGAAGCCTCCTGCACACAGGCACTCAGCTCCCTCGCTCTGTGGGTTGGCTCCACTGCCGTCTGGCATTGGTCTCCTGGTTCTGCTGCTGTGGGTTCTCTGCTGTTGCCACTTCTCTGCCGATACAGATTGCCTGCTGCTGCTCTGCCGCTGCTGCTCCTCTATCCATTCAGTTTCAAAACCACTTCCACATTTTAAGTATCTGTTAGAGCAGCACCCCACTCTCTGGGTACCAAATTCTGTCTTAGTCATCTAGTGCTGCTACAACAGAAATACCACAAGTTGATGGCTTTAACAAAGATAAATTTATTTCTTCACAGTAAAGTAGGCTAAAAGTCCAAATTTAGGGCGTCAGCTCCAGGGAAAGGTTTTCTCTCTCTGTCAGCCTTCTCATCAATGTTCCACCAGACTAGGAGCTTCTCCTCAGAGGGACCCTGGGTCCAAAGGACACGCTCTTCTCCTGGCACTGCTTTCTTGGTGATATGAGGTCCCCCGGTCTTACGGCCTTAGTCTCAGGGGTTCCTCCAGTCTCTGTCAGACCAGCAAGTCTGGTTTTTCTTGTGAATTTGATTTTTTTGTTCTGTAATTTTCTCTCGCTCTGTCCAGGGCCCTTTGTTGTGATGCCAGTCAGAACAGTTGGTAGTGGTAGCCGGGTACCATCTAATTCTTCTGGTCTTAGAGTCCAAATAAATTTTTAAATCAACTTGTCGAGCCTTCCCCTACCCCCTCCAAAAAACCCCGTTGTATCTGTATTGGGATCACATAAATTTTATAAATTAACTTGATTTCTTTTTAATATTTAGTCTTCTTATCCAAAAGCATAGTATTTCTTTCATTTAATCTTTGTAACAACTCTATGAGTTAGGGTCTATTATTATTATTATTCCCATTTTATAGGTGAAAGAACCGAGGCTCAGACATGTGGTGTAATTTGCTCAGAGTCACACAAACTATTAGGTGTGGGAGTTGCCAGGATGGTCTGATTTTAAGCTTCTCTCCTCAGAACAGAAACTTAGGGAAGTAGGGAGCCAGCTCCTCTTTGCTCCTTGCTACTTAGTAGCTGTCTGGCCTCAAAGCCCTGGGTTCTCATCAACCACGTTCCACTTACTTGCACTCCACAGCTCACCAGGAAAGCTAGGCTTTTAAATGAATGATGCAAACACAAATGTACAGAAGGGGTGAGGTTCACATGGAGCTAAGACAGTCAGGGAGAACCTTTTGGAGGAAGGAAAACTCAAAGTCGACTTTGAACAGTCAGAGCAGTATTTGGATTGGTAGAGAGGGCAAGGAAAAGCACAACCAGCAAGGGGAACCCAGTGAGCCAAGGCATAGATTCAACATCTAATTGGGAGGTAGTGAGGGTGATTCTGGGGCTTCCTCTTGGAGCTGAAAGCCTCTCAGTCCTGCCCAGTAAAGGGTATTCTCATTCTCCCTGAATAATCTGCTAACAGATTTAGGAAATGGATGTAAACTCAGAAGCTCATTTACCTTCTGCCTGAGAGAGAATGCTGCCATTGCATGCGACTCAGGTGCAGAGACAAAGCCCTGGCAGCTGGTTTTATGGGCACAGCATGTGGCTGTATGAGTATTACTTGACACCCCGGCCTGTTTGGGGACACAAATCTAAAGGAAACAAAAAAACATTCCTGAATCAACCTTAGTTAGGGTCTAATACTTCTGGTGGGCACTGGCTATTTGCTCAAGGACATCGGTAGGGGTAACACACCCTTTTGGCTCTTGGTGGGTGGGGGGAGGGATGAAGCCTGGGCCCCCAGAACTCAAGAGTGCATATCCCCTTATAGCTGAAAGAGCCTGGGATTGTGCTTGAGGGTGGTGCTCACCAAGTTTCCCCTTCAGAGGTTTGTAACTCCAAGAACAGCAAGACAATAGGTGGCAAGGAGGGTCTATTCCTGGGTAAGGAATCCCTGCGTGGTACAAAAGATTAGCTTGGTTACTAATCGAAAGGTTGCCACTTTGAGTTCACCTAGAAAGGCCTGGTGATCTATTTTCAACCAACAGTCATTAAACCCTACAGAGCACAGTTCTGCTCTGACACACATGGGGTCACCATGAGCAATGGCAACTGGTTTATTGGTTGATTCCTGAGTAGGAATGAGAGCCACTCCCAGATACCTAACAGGTAACTCTACCTCCCTATCCCACCCACCCCCAGCTTGTTTTAGACCATAGGCCACCCAGAGATAGAGGATTCCACTGTGGTGACTCTGTCCTAGGGGTTTGAGATCACAATCTCAAGGGCTTGGGAGATGACACCTGGTATACCTCAGCTACCACCCAACCCAAAGAAAACCTTTTCAGTTTTAGGGGGAAATGTCAGGGTCCAAGGACTAAGGTCTGCACCAGGAGGCAGTGGTGGTTCAGTGGTGGAATTCTTGCCTTCCATGTGGGAGACCTGGATTCAATTCATGGCCAATGTACCTCAGCACAGCCACCTCCTGTCTGTCAGTGGGGGCTTGCATGTTGCTAGGATACTGAATAGGTTTCAGCAGAGATTTCAGACTAATATAGACTAGGAAGAAAGGCCTGGCAATCTACGTCTAAAAAATCAGTCAATGAAACCCTACGGATCACATTGTGCTTGGGGTTGCCATGAGTCAGGGGGCCAACTTGACCTTTTAGTCAGATGGCCCATGCAGCATCTTCCTTTTACTGGGGAACTGACTCGATTTCTATTTCTGACTCATTCAAGAGCATTCTCTTCAGGGGCTGTTAATTACCTTACCGCAGGCCCTTCCTTGAAGGACAATGCCAGAACTCTAGCCAACACTGACAGCAGCCACCACAGCGGTGGTTTTCAAAGTGTGGTCCCCATACCAGCAGTTATCAGCAGCACCTGGGAACTTGTTAGAAGTGCAAATCCTCAGGTCCACCTCAGAGCTAGTGAATCAGAAAGTGGGGCTGAGGGCCGGCAATCTGTTTGTTTGAACAAGCTCTCCAGGCGAATCTGAAGCACACCAAAGTTTGTCCTCAGACTTTGACCTACAGGCCTCCCCTCAGCCAGAGGGGAAGAAGCTTGGAGGGCAAAACTGAGAACTACTTGGACCTCCATAAAGGGTTGGAGCCTGGTTAGGTTTAGAAGCTGAGGAAAGGACATGCTAAGAGAGGACATGGAAGAATATGCACTTCACCCTGCACAATTGTGAGCTAAAGGAACCTAACTGAAAGAAGGTGCAACTGGAGTGAGGGCTCCGGGAAACCCATAGACTCTCGGCCCCTTTTCCCAGCTGTGGAAAACAAGTCTGGAGAGGCTAAACTCTAAACCTGCTATTGGGGCCTCTCTCCTCGGGCCTGCGCGCAGCGAGGCCATGGCAGCCCCGTCTTGCAGAGCCCGGGCATGAGGCCAAGGTAGTCTTAGGTCGTGGCTTTTTGGGGCGATAAACAGAACGACACCTAGGGCGCAGTTCGCTGGCCATTTCCACTCCCCAGTCAGGTTCGGTCGCAGCTGGCCACGGCCAGGTCTCACATGCATCCAGGACCAGTTTGCGTCTCCCTGGGGATCTAGGTATCCAACCTTGGCCCAGGGTACCACAGACTCCACTTCCTCCGCTTCAACCGCCCGGAGCCCGGCCTTCTCGCTATGGAGATTTCCCATTCTCCGCCAGCGCCGGGAGACCCCGCAACCGACAACTCCGGCCGAACTACAAAACCCACAATCCCTAGGGCGGGCGCGCTGTCTTCTGGGGGCGGTAGTTCCGGAACCAGAGAGCCCCCAGCAGTCTAGTGCCCGGCCGACTCCACTTCCCAGCATGCCCACACACGTAGGGCGGGGGAGTGAGGGGAGAGACGAGGAGGATGTGAATGGGGAGGGGGCAGTCGCCCCCCTCCCCCACTCTTTCCTTCTGGCCGGGGTGAGGTGGGGGGAGGGGCCGGGCTGAGGCGGTGGCGGCAGCGCTTGCTGAGGGCAGGGCCGAGCAAGGGCGGGACTGGCCAGCGGCCGGCAGACGACGAAAGCTGCGGAGCTAACGGGTCCGGGCGCCGGCGGCGGCTTCTGAAAGGGCGGCGTTGGCGGCAGGAGCAGCGAGCATGGCCCGCGCGGCGGCCCGCGCTGACTGAGGTGCGCGGGTGGGATGCTGGCGGGCGGGATGCGGGGCGCCCCGGGCCCCTAGCTGCCCCAGACCTCCTCTGCGCGGGCAGCTGGCTCGGCCCTGCGACTCAGAACGTCCCGGTGCACCCCGGCAACTTCCCGCGGATTGGGGCGCTGTGCTCCCCCGTGTGGGCGGGGGTCTCCTGCCTTGGCCTCAGTCCCGATCCCCGCCTTCTGCTTCTACACATCAAGCCGCTCCCACCCAGCCTGGCGCTCCGCTTCCGCTCCTTACAGGCAGTCCCTGACCCCAGCCCTTGGAAGAGCACCCTGCCCCAGTCCTGACTTCCAGTTCTCGGCGCTCCGGGCCTCTTCTCTATCTGAAGCGCCCTGCCCGCTCCTCTTGGTCAGAGGCTGCCTTTGCGCCGTCAGCACCTCTCTCCTCGTTCCTCTACCTGGCACTGCCTACTGGATACCTCCCGTGGCCCAGTTCTCTCTGATAAGACCTAACAGCTTGACCTCCTTCCCACTTTGGAGAAACCGAGGCACTGCACTAGCTAGGAACTTGGCCAACGTCGTGCCTTAGTCCTGTGCAGGTGGCCTGAGCTGTGTGCCATGTCCCTCCTCTCATGCCGTGGAATGAAAGAGTCATTTCTCTCCTCTCGTCATTCCGTCATTCCGCTGTGGCTGGACCAAACTTTTGGCCCTCTGCTACAGCTTGGGCCGAGCTCACTTTGCTCTCTCCTGCTTGTGTTTCCCCTCCTCCCTCCCATACCCTAGTGCTACCCTCTCTGTAGAGGAGTCACCCACCCATTCCTTGTTAGATCAAGTTTGCCTTTATATTTCTCGCCAGCTGCATCCATCTCCCATCTTGCTTCTTGCTTCACAGCTGCGTAAACGACTATGGAAGAGAGACTACGGTGATGGTGGGGGGAAGGGGAAAGAGAGGTTCTGGTGGCGCAAAGAGAATCTGCAGCCTCTTTCAGCTGAAGCCACCGAGGGGGATTCCAGGAACTCCAGGGCCTCTGGGAAACATTCACTCCTAGCCAGTAACTCACCTCTCATCTGGTCTTTAGGACAGTTGTCTAGAAAGCTGGTTGAATATCCCTTCCTCTTACTATGCCTGGTGGGCTTGTACCTTAAGGAGATGGCAGCATAAGAGGAGGCTGGGAGACCACACCCCTAAGCCTCATCTGGCTTCTGCTGCTAACTTTGGAGGGGGCTGCCAGTTCAGGGAAGGATGGCTGCTAGGTGCTCTGAGCTTTTTGTGGAGGAAGGCATGGTGTCTGTAGGCGGTGATCTCAAGTTTGGTCATGGTGTTTAGGATTTGAAGGGAAGAGGGAACCAGGGTGCAGAGAAGTGGCACAGACTTGCCTGTATAATTCAGTGTTTTGTTTTTTCATCTTCCTTTGGCAACTTTTCCTTTGGGTCGTCCCTTTCTGGACTCACCCCCAGTTTCCCACTGGGAAACCTATGAGCTATGCAGAAAGGACGGGGAGGCTCCAGGAGTTTGGTGGGGTTCTGAATGAGCAATCTTGATCTGAACCAGATGGTTTTCTGCTTCAGCACACACCCTCCCCCCTCCCCCATAGCTGTGAATGGGGTGCTTTTAACCTTGTAACTTGAGAATGGAGGAAGGGAGGCCAGGGGGCCAACTGTCTGTGTGTGTTTATATCTGCATCTGCACACTTGTAGTGCAAGCTTGCCAGGGACCTGTGGGAGTGACCCTGCCCAGGAATGCATTGTTGTGATTTGTTGGCTGTGGCATGCTCATGGGCCCGTAGAAACTTTCTGAGCCCAGTCCCCAGATATGGCCATTTTCAAAGCCCCTAAGAACCACTGGAGGAGCCCTGGTGGTGCAGTAGTTAAGCACAGCTGCTAAACTAAAGGTCAGCCGTTTGAGCCCACCAGCCAGTCCCCGGGAGAAAGATGTGGCAGTCTGCTTCCATAAAGATTTACAGCATTGGAAACCTTATGGGGCAGTTCTGCTCTGTCCTATAGGGTCGCTATAAGTTGGAATCTACTTGACAGAAATGGGTTAAGAACCACTGGGTGTGGTCTCCTCCCCTCAAGCCTCTGGACTTACAAAATGCCTCCTTGTAGTGAGGGTCACCCTTCTTGAGAAGGCCACCTGGGACTGACGAATCTGAAACGGCAGGATTAGGGGTGAGGGGAGGTGAGCCAGCTTGGGCTTCCTAGAACTGGTGTTCTCTTTCCCTCAGTCATGGCAGGAGAACACCTGAAGGGTAGGGTCTGGGGAGAGAGTTGGGAATGTATTCCTTTGCGTTGTCATATACCACATTGTCCCTTTTTGTGGCAGTATTTGTGTAATTGATTTTGGCCCCCATTAGACTGTGGAAGTTCTTCAATGCAGGGTGGTATCCTTATTTCTGAAGTACCATCACCTGGCTCAGACCTTGTCACATAGTTGTTGTTAGCTGCCATTGAGTCGGTCCCCGAATCTTGGTGACCCTGTGCACGATGGACCGAAACGCTGCTGCCTCCTGCACCATTTCCATGATAAGTTGCTGATCAGAACTGTAGTGATCCATAGGGTTTTCATTAACTGATTTTAAGAAGTAGATCACTAGGTCTTTCTTCCTAGCACGTTTTAGTCTGAAAACTCTGATGAAAGCTGTTCAGCATCGTGCAAGCTTCCACTGACAGATGGGTAGTGGCTGGGCTTGAGGTGAATTGACCAGGAATCAAACCCAAGTCTCCCTTATGGAAGGCAAGAATTCTACCACTGAACCACCACTGTCCCAACTCTCACATAGTAGGTGTTCAGTAAATATTTGAGTTAAAGTGGAGGGCCTTATGGTAAAGACTTAGGGCAGTGTTCCTTATACTTGAGTATGCATTAGAATCCCCTGGAGAGCTTGTTAAGGCACAGAAGGCTGGGTCCCACTCCCACAGTTTCTGATTCAGTGGGTCTGGGTGGAGCCCAAGAATCTGCATTTCTATCCAACTCTTGGTGATTACACTTTGAGAACCACTGCCTTGGGGCCATTACAGATGCTTGAGAAATTAATCCAGAGAAATCGAAAGTCTTAAGGGAGACTTCCTTCCTCTTCACTTCCCATCCAGGCTTGTTCTGGCAGCTGCACTGGTTTGGCCTTTTCCTTTCATAGCAGACACTGCCGCATGGTCAGTTGAAGGAAGGCCCTATGATCAAATAGGACAGTTAGGAACCAGGGCTTTGGAAAAGGATGGTCACATGGACATGATGAAGCATATGCCAAGCCAGGCCCTCATCTGTCCTGTGCCTGTCACCTGGACCGAGCAGGTTGGGGTGCCTGCCAGGTGAAGTCTTGCCATGGCTAGACACTGGACAGGACACCAGGGAATCTCCGAATATTAGGAAAAGCAGGAGGAATCTGTCCTCCTGGGGGAGGGGGGGTAAGACAAGTATACTAGTACAAGTATATTTTGCTTTTACTTTGGAAAACATTTTCCACGTGTTGTTTTATGGGCCAAAGAGAGGTTTATAAGGCAGATATAGACCCAGGTAGGATTACTGAGGAAGAGAGAGATACACTGTGGGTCATACAACAGCCCCAGGCCTCCTGATTCCAGCCCTGCCACAGAGCAGCTGCTAAACTAGTAGCAACTAGTAGCTCAAATAGTGGTTGCTGTTTACTAAGTGCTTGCTACTTACTTGCCAGGCATTGTGATAGATGTTCTCAAGTGTTATTGAGTCCTCACAGCAACACTGTGAGGTTGACTTACAGAACTTACGAGACTTGCCCAAATTCAGACAGTAAGTGGGGGATCTGGGATTCAAACCCAGGTTTTTCTGATGGCAAACCCTATGCTCTTAGCCAATTACAGCAAATGTGTACTTGTCCTTTGGGGTTGTCTGCCTCTCCAGTCTGATGAAATTTATTGAGCTTGGAACTATCTTGGGTGTTGTGGAGGCTGCGACAATGATCAAGTCACTGTCTTCTGGGAGGGGGATAAGACAAATACACTAGTATCTATAGTGGGAGGCAGAAGATACAGTCAGTGGCTTGGAGGTGTAGAGGAGGTAGAAGTCATCTCTGTACAGGGCTCAAGAGAGGCATTTGGGATGGACCTTGAAGGAGCAGGTAGTGTTCCAGCAGTGTCCATGGGCTGGAGAGGTGTGCAGGCCAAAAAGTGCAAAGAGAGGCCATCACAGGGCATGGGTAGGGATTATCCCTTTTGGCTGGAGTGTCGGGGGGCATATTTCAGAAAGCAATGGGAAGATCTTGTTTGGTTGGAAGCAACAACTTGGCAAACTTCGGCAGGAAAGGGCTTTCTTGGAAGGCTTGGGGAGATCACAGAATCAGATAGATGACTGGGAACTCAGTCTGCTCTAGGGGCCCTTGGGTGGGTTCAGCAAGAACCAAAGACCATCCTCTTAAGGATACCACTGTCACCAGGATAAATATGCTCCAGCTCTTCTCAGTAATTTTGTCATCACTGCTTTGGATTCAAATCCCAGGGAGAAAATGTCTGATTGGCCCATAAGAAGAGGCAATGGACATTGCAAGAGATCAGTCCAGAAAGGTGCTAGAAGAGGACTTGAATAGGCAGGTGGAGGAAGATGTACTTAGTTCTAACAAGTTTCTGAGCAGGCAGCAGGAGACTGGCAGTGGGGCATTGCTGGGTTGGGATGGGACGAATAAAATGGGGAGGGAGGACACAGAAAAGTAGATAGTTACCTGCTCCAGGTGAGACGTAATGATGGCTTGAACTTGGCAGTGGAAATGGAAAAGAAGGGGCTGATTCTAGAGTGATTGCAAAAGTAGATCTCATCTACCAGAACAGACACTTAGTTGCCTCAGGTTTGGCATTTTAATGCCTGGGTGGATGAGGATTGGTTCCTTTAGCTGACACAGGCAGTCAGGAGGAGGAAGAGTTTGCAGGAGAAGATGATGTGCCCTTGGTTTGGAGGAGCTGTGTATGGGATGCTGACAGCGCACCCAGAATCCTGGTGAGCTCATTACTTCTGACCCCAAACTGTGTGAGGTTTGGGGCCTCAGCCCTGAGGAGGTGGGGCCACAAGCCCC